GGGGGGGGGAACTGGCCAACATGCACTGAGTATACTGGATAAGAATCTGATTCGGGTAGCGATTCATGGAATTTGATTTTGAAATGCAAACTATCCACTCTATACACCTTTTACAGCCCGAATTCACAGATCCTTAAGTAACTCAACTGGGTCTCAATATCTTTTAATCCACTCCGTTTATCAAATATTGCACTTACTCTCAATAGACCTCAAGTACTTTCAGGCAAATGAACAGAAATACAAATTCTTTCCTGACTTCCTATTGGTTATAATATACTAACAACATACCTATTCAACAAACAAAAAGGAGAAGATGAAATCGAAAGACACTAGCTTCAACATAATTAATTTTAAAAAAAAGAAACAGAGAAAGGACTTGAGAGCAGGAGGATCGGTGAAAGTGGTTAAGGTGGATCAGAAGTTATCAGCTAGTTATGAGCATTAATAAGCAATTGACCTTGTTGTTCAAGCAATTTAGGTAATGGGTAATAGAAAGCGCCTTATTAAGAGGCACAAGTCTAATATGAAAGTTGGAAACACTCTCTAAGGGGTTTGGAGCTTAGCTAATATGAAATAGTAGATATATACTGTTCTATTTACACCAGGTACAAAAACATTCCGAAATTAATAGTATCTATGTAGGACGTGCCATAGAGCTCATAAGGCTTGGAGCTTTTTTTCGGGGTCCGATGGGTTCCTGTTTTGAAAGGTGTTCCTGCAACAATGAGTCCACAAGTACCATCACATCACCAATCGTGAAGACGAGATCTGATAGATCCTCATCTTCCAGCATGGACCAACTTGCATTAGGAGGGTCGCAGACCGGTGGAAGTAGGTGAAGTATCAAATGAACGGTGCCTCGAAGAATCCCGAGCATTCGAGGGAGATTTTCACCAGGGAGTTGCTGTAATAGAGAGGACAATTAGCTTAGATGAGTAGTTATGCGTTAATTCAAATAATGAACCCCCCCCCCCCATTAGCCTTTTAAAATAGTAATTCACGTGCTTTCCATGAAAATGTTACTCAATCCAACCTAGCTGATATCGGCTGTACAATTCATGTAATATGAAAAATTTTTGATAAACAGCTGCATGGGAGTACGTCTGTCACCTGTTCTGTTTATCTACTCAAATGACAAACAAAATTGTTTCAATCAAGGAGTCTTCTACCTAGGTCTTTGAACAATGATTCAGATGAGGAATATGTTCAAAGCACTCTATTTCAAATGAATACCTAAAGTGCATATTTTTTGCCGATTTGCACCCTCTTATACCATATCCTGCTTTACGCGATGCAAAATAGGGAATTGGAAATTGATCTTAGAGCTTGAGAGCGTCAGATAAAAACAAAAATTGGTATGAAAATGTAAACGTAATGGCAAAGTTAGTAAGAATCGCCTACTGAATGGCTAGATTTTAGGAGATATGCTTTATTTTACTAAATTGGTACCATAAACACGATTTTGTGAATCTACTTACACAAGCACATCCTCCTTACACTTAAGAAACTAGACTAACTTCAATTACCTTTGAGGTAAACATTCAACCGAATCCCTTTGTCAATTTATCACTACCTAGAACATCTACCTTCAACCGTCTTAGTACTAGAAGAATAATAAAATTCAAAAGCTCACCGATTTTGAATAAATGACTTGGAAGAGCAAACCTCCTCTTGAAATGGTTAAAAATTAGGCATAATATAACCGCTCCTATTAGGACTTAAAGTTCTGTATCACCAAATATTGGCCAGAAATAACCATTACAGTTTGTCACACATCTCACCGGAAGTGCACCGATCTCTAACGACCCCAAAAAGTGGTTTAAAAATACTTTCACCTTACTTACGTTACGTGCTGTTAGCGCTGATCACATTTGTTCCATGGAAAACTAGTTATTAAATCGCACTCTCTCTCTCTCTCTCTCTCTCTCTCTCTACAGATCTAGTGGAATAGAACTCACAACTATTTCAGTGAAGTATAAATAAAGTTTGGAATCTCGAATTCCCCTTAATAGGAGCACCAAACTTCCAAAGAGCAAAAGTTCATTATTTCCCTGGCTTGATCAAATTAGACAGAATTTAAAGCTACACACTTACAAGCCCACTTTTACATTCGAGGTGTTTAAGATTATATTATTGAAGGTGAGGACTACAATATATCAATCCAAATATTCAATGATTCGGTACCAACCTTTACAAGAGGGCCGTATCTCTTCTTCACATAATCCTGTTCATGCTTAATCCTGAACGGTGTCTCATAAATACAATACTTGAGAATGTCCATTACAGTTTTAATCCACATCGCAGATGACTTGTTTACCAACGGTCCACAAAATTTCATACACAATTCTGCCAGCTTTATCATAGAAGGAGTGTCAATCTCCTTAAAGCCACCTTCATAGTCGTGAAGAAGTAGAATAGTGCCTAGAGCAGAGGAAAGTTGAACGGCGTGTTCAGGGCGTTTCGAATCTTGTTGCCAGTAAGCTTCTCGTGGAGTAACATTACAGAGAGCAGAAATTAGGAGTATGGTGTGCTCATACCAATTCTGCATTAGCTGAACATTCTCTCCTCCATATACAGTAATAGTTCGTAAACACTGAGCTGCATGATCAAGGAACCGATTAAAATCTGGATGAATTCCAGATTGTAGAGCAGCAGTGATAAGTTCAGTGATTAGTACGAAGGCCGAATAACCTATCCTAGCTCGCCATAGGGGGATAAGCGTAGTAGATTTGAGAGAATAGACCCAATTGGTTACGTCTGGACTATAAAGCAGAGTATTCGTTATTGTAGCCGTGATTTCACCGGAAGTTGGCATATCGTGTGTCTTCATGTAGGAATGACAATTGACAAGACACTGAAGTGCCACAGAGAGAACCAAATGATCCCTTCCCTCCGTTTGGTCCAAAAATTTCCGACAGATCGGAGTATTAAGTAGATCATCAAGTAGAGAAGCCAATACGCTCAACGTTTTAGCACAGACCTCCAGACTTATGCCCTTGTCACCGGAACCAAATTTACCCCGAAGGTGACGAAGGATCGAGACAAAAGTTTCGACATCTGCCTCATTCCACGGGGTCTTAGAAGTCAGAGATTTCCCAAGAGCCTCTACCTCTTCAATATGTCCCATCTAAAAACTAAAAGGCACCGAGCATTCTTAGTCTATAACGCAGCAAATTACGTTAAGCGAAAGTTCATATGCATTGTTAAAGAAGACAGAGACACCAGTAAAGAGAAATGTTTATATTTTAATGTTTAATAATATATAGATACAACAAGTCCATAACACACACTTATAATATCTAGAGCAAATAAAAGATAAAGAGGAATCGATTTTTCCCAATCCCTCTCGATCTTTAGCTCAAATATACCCCCGAAATGCATACACATATATTCACAAACACTCCAGCTCTTGCAATAAAATTGTGATAAGTGAGGAGGGAAGAAATATAGGTGAGAAAGAGGGTGCTACAGTTAGAGAGATACGGTGAGTCAGGCAAACAGGAGTTAAAATAGTTCCCTACTCGAGAAAGAATACATAAATATGTACACGCTGGGTGAAATGCGAGGTGTTCAGCGAGTGAGAAGGGGATAGGGTGAAGAGTGGGGTAAGTTGGACAACAGCCTACGCTATTGTCTAGTGGATGGTGAGGCTGTAGACATGAAGGCAAGTCGAGGTCGCTTCGGGTCCAACATATTCACTAACTGACTTGAAGAATTGACTTGCTGATTTGTCGCTGAGATGTTTACGCTAGGGGAATTTACTAAGAGGCTACCTACACAAGGGGAATAACCTATGTTCACCGGCGCTGCTGCCACCTTTACAAGACTGACTGCAGGCGAGGGTAATTCAGAATCCCCGCAAACCTAGAGAGAAAAGGAAAAATCATTGACAATTAACAGCGAACCAAGTAGCATAGTTTATCTATGCTTTCTTTGTATGTAATTTATTAAACAAGATATAGTATTTCGAAATACATTAACAGACATCCTAACAAGGTCTTTTGCAGAAATGTTATGGCCTTGGTCCTATAGAGGTAATAAATACTGTTGAAAAGCAAGACTGAGAATCTTGAAATCTTTCTGATAAGCTCTCGCTCCTCCCAATACTAATCAATTTCAACCAATAAGATTGAAAACACAGATGACAGTTATTTTCTGAAAATGTGCCCCATTGATCTCTACACCAATTGTGAAAAAAGTGTTAACTTACTCCAGAGTTATTTTGCTGGTTCTGATAGTTAGAAGGTAAGTTGGCAGATGTTAGGAGGGGGCCGAGAGTGGAACTATTGGCATGCATATTTGTCGCTGTCTTTGAAGTGGTGATCAGAGAGTTGTTCACAGGCAGGATACGCAAAGGACGACTTGTGGAGGGTTGATTAGTACTTCCTACAGTAGAACTAGAAGTCACTAAACGATTCACTGGACCTAGCGTGTGAAGGAGGTAAAGATAACAAAAAAGACAAACAAAATTTAGAAAAGCATTCATTTTCTCGAGAACGAACCTTGTGGAACAAAGTACACATTTCTAGGTGCTGAAGAATTAGTGGTTTGGAGAGGTTTTGGATTACTCAGTTGGGAAGATTGGACAATAATGGAATGAGCTGAATGCACCTTTCTGTTCTCAGAAGCAGAAGAGGAAATTAGGGAATTCTGCTGTTGTTGCTGATTAGAGGATATCACAGTGGAGTAGTTTTTAAAAACCCTCGAGGCATTATTCGAAGATTGAGAAATGATAGCGGTGGGACCAGAAGAACCTGTCATCACAAAGGTAGTCAGAGTTGGAGTTGAAGTAAACGTTGACGAAGGACTAGATCGATTAATTGTTGGAATTGGTAACACAGGGTTAGACGAACACTGAACCTTATTCGTTTGGTTACCTAAAATAAAATTTACAATTTACTTATGCTAATTCAGTAGCAAGTAGTGAATGATTTCTATTTGCTAGCCACAAAAGGTGGGAAACTAAGTTGAAATATTTAACAAACAAAGAAAGCAGTCAAATAGGGAGTCAAAGTGTTCGAACGATGACAGTGCTTAGTTTTTAAAAATATTGAGGAAAAACTTTATTTTATAATCAATAAAATTTGAAAAATTTTATATAAGCGAAAATGACCATAGTTCTTATGATCATGTGCTAGTAAGTCATGATTAGGAGCTAGCAACAATAAACAGTACATTCTGTAAACACGTTAAAATCAAATCAAATAGAGAGCACGTCAACCTACCTTGAGACAAAGGTTTAGATATTGAGTTGGTGGGAATATGGAGAGTATTTGGTCGAATTAAAAAATTACGAGTAGTGGAAATAAAGGGAACATTCCCCCCGTTTTTAGCTGCTTCGAAAGAGCTTGTGGATAAAGGCAATTTGGCTTGTGAAGAGCTCATAGAATCAGGTGATTCCAAGACCGAGTGGGATCTTTTAAAACCCTAGAAATTTTAATAAAATAATATTAAATTAATGGCAACTCGTGAACATACACAGAAACAACGAATATTCGAAGACTTACAGAGATCACGGATTGAATGATAGGTATTTGTTTAACAAGCGGTGGGCTATGTGGAGCATTCTCATCCAATTGAAAAGAGGTTGAAGATTGCATCTTATCTTTAGAAAATTGCTCCACGGGTAATTCGGCAATGAGGCTTGCCTTCTCCTCAATTACCGTGGAAACAAGTTTCGGTTTCTGTGTGGCATCGGCTTCGCAAGTAACTTCTACAGCAGCTTCCGGAACAATTGGAGTATCATCAGTTACATCTTCGTTTGATACACATTTAGGCATATCTGCAATGGCAACATCAGTATTTGGTACATCCTCGACATTTTTCTAAAAAAAGGAAAAGTTTAAGAGTTTACAGTGTTCAATAAAATACATTTAAGCCTGAAAAGGCGCAATTGAGAAAAACGCAAAAAAACAAAAAAATTCACTTGAGTTAATAGTTCAAGTATAAGTAATGGGAAACATACAACTTTATTAGCGTTTTCAACCGCTTCAGCAAATGAAACACTCTCAGCCTTTTCATTGGTTTGTGCGCAATCAGCGGTAATTGAGAGTTTTTTGCTCTTATTTGGCATCATAAATTTAAATGATGCTATTTTAATAGCAACGTCATCTGCATCAAGTAAAAATGCAGTCTGAGGAACGCCGCGCTGAATGATTGGAGTGATACGTCTTCCTTCGAAACACCAACTGTCATCAGTTCTTTTACCAGAGACGCTAAATTTTAAACAATCGTAAGGAGAAAATGCAGACAAACCATTCCGAAATTGTGGCAAGCTCATCATCATTGACGGCTCGCCTAACCTCCGCACGATGACGATCGCCGCAGATGTTAAGTAAACGCCGAAGAGAAGAAAGCACTGACTTCTTCTCACTCGTAAACAGGCCTTGTGCTCGAAATGCGGAAACAACTTTCGAGTACGCTTCAATTTCGTTCTGTCGAAGTAATCGATGACAATCTGCACTCGACATATCCATTAAAGCAGGCCACAATATGTTGGCATTTTCAATAACCCTTGTCTTATCAAACATACTTTCTTCAGTTCATATAAAACCACTAAAATAAAATTTTTAATCACTAATTATAATAGCGCTCTAGGATTTATTAGAATTTGTCATGAACAAGTGATGTCCGCTTACCACACAAATAACCAAAACAATAGGGGAGAGAAGTGAAACCATATAAAGCGGTAACCTTTCTTTAAATTAAAAATGTTGCTTCAGTAAAAGGTCAAGCCGTCAAGACATTAATAACTTTATCTTATCACAGACAGCGAGTTTTGCTTTTTTTATTTTTCATTTTGATATCTCCCATAAAGTATGACTAATAGCTATGGTTAAGATGCAATCTAGTCTCTGATTTAAGGGGACATTTTTAGTGAAGCCAGTAAATTACTCAAATTTGTATTCAAGGAGATTAATTAAATAATAATTCATATATTGATTTGATTTAAGTTAGCCAAATTAGGTTTCTGATTAATCACTTGTAAGCTTTGAAGCATATGAAATGATTTTTCTTTTCATTTGAATATCTCACCAAAAATTAATCAATTAGAGAAATTAGTCCTTTGGTTTGTAGCGGGTTGCTACATTTGCATAACGCATGATCATATATTAATGTACATTAAATATAATCCTGTTTGTTTGACAGTTTTTAAGTCTTAGAAACGCCACCTTTCTAAAATAACACTTAAATCTAGCTTATGAAATGAAAGTAAGTAAGATACTAGATTTATATTGATTTTATTCCATACCTTTGTTTACTTTTCTTTTTTTTTCATTAAAATTATATATTTGAAGTTTTTCATGCACTTTGAAAAACCGAGATTATTTCAATGAAACGGCTTTTCCATAGGCAAACCAATGATATACAGTGAAAATATTTCCGTTATTGTTATAATGAGAAGTTTAAATCCTTTTTATCGTCGTTAACAGTATTGTTTAGATCTAAATTGGATTTTGAATTTCTATTTATGAAAAGCTTTTGAAATGATTCATTCCTCAATAATTATTTACATAAATTCAAGTGATATACGCCAAATTTTGGTAGAATGCATTAATTTTACATAGGGAAAAATATTATATTTCAATTCTATCAAAAAATTGTTTAACTTTTTTCTATTTAAACCTTTATCTATTCCATAATTATTTGTGTCTCATATCGTATTTTGCAATATGTTTTTTCATTTTTGTACAAATTAAAACTTATTAAAGATGCCTGAATGATGGTTATTCAACCTGGTAAAAATTCAGCATTTGTTTATTTCTGCCGTTTATGTTGAGAGGCGTGCAGGCAATGAATACTTTTCAACTGGAAACTATGCGACTTAAACTAGCAGATTAATGTATTTATTAATTTTAGTATTTGTTATTAACGATTTTGCAATATTGCTAAAGGCACTTATTCGGGGACGTTATTTTGGTAAATGATAGAATAAAATGTTTATTAATAGTGCCTATATTCAATTAGAAGGAATTGTGGCTATTTGAATGACTTCAAACGCTAAATTTTCCGATGCGTTCTGAAATGCCGAAATAAAAGTCTCAGAAGTCTTCCAAAGCCAGTTTTTTTCCATATATTCAGCAGTCTATATGTATAAATGGAAAGATGTCCAAACCAAATTTCATGATTCTAAGCTTTTTATTCTTCTGTTACATCTATGTGTACCGCTCCTTCATCTTGTTCTGCTAAACCTCTACCTGTCATAATTACTGTTCCTTCAGTTAGCGAGAATTTTACTAACGTGTTCTCTGATTAGGTCAAGGGAGGCAGAGTTATCCGAAATTATCCTCTATTTTACGCCCTTTTTAACTGTCTCAAAATTTTAATCAAGTATGATATGGACTTAAGTGAATTTGGAGGCTTTCTAAACTTTCAGAGGGACCATTTTTTAGGAACTTCATAAAACTCACTTCATATATTTCTTTTTCATCTCTGGACTTCATATGAAGCCTTGGCCAAATCAATGAATTCGCCTGTTAAAGTTACTGACCGTACACTTCGTATTTACTTTGCAGAGAAATGGGAAGAGGGAGTGTGAGATAAGATATTGAATCTTATGTGTGATTCAGCTCTCATCATCCGGTGCGTAAACTATATGAAGTTATGCCTTATTACGCACAATTTCTTCCAACAAAAAGAAGCTGGCTTCAACTAGTCCATGTTACCGAAGTTGGCACCTTCCCCAGCAACGCACCTTCAATATGTGTAGTGTAATCAATGCCAAAAGATTGAAGATAAAGGTGACTTTTGACCAAAGGTCTCCTTGAATTGTCCACCAACAACATGATCAAGACAATAGTACGCAAAATCGGTGAAATTTCCATAAAAAAGAATCAGCCGCTACAAATCTTGAATTAACAATGCAGATTAAACGAACTAGATACCAGGCGAATCCTGTCTATTAATCATACCATGGCGATTTTAGTACCCTTGCCTAATACTCAATCAGTTTTGTCTCCTAAGTGGCCAGCTCCATTCGCACTCCTGTCCATGGTTGGACGAAGAATTTATACGTGTGAAATAAAGTAGCCTTCAAAACCTGCTTCTGATTCTTCAAAACTGGCGGTTTCTATTGGTTTTATTGTTGTTATTCGGAAGGTAAATAGAAATATTTGGCTATGCATTGACCGCTTAAAAGGTTTATTTGACGCATTAGACCCCAGTTTTGTTCATTAACAGATCATAATGTCCTCTTCTCAACACCTTACGGCTTTGATTACTCTGCCAACTTTGTTCCAACTATGACTTTTATACAATTCGAAGTTGTACCAGAGCTACGAGAAGCCCAAACTATAAATAGACATCATGATCTATACCATTTTATCCGACTTAATTCGGTGTCAATTCAGCAACTGCTATTTTTCAGTGAATAGAAGGTAGTATGATATTATGTCTCTCTGGAACAGCTGCATGCCTGAAAGACGTAATCCTTGTTAGCTGCTTCAAGCAAGAACTTCAAGAACGCGTCATCACATTTTTCCAGGTATTCGGAAGTATCCCTCTAGCTTTCTAATTGAAAAAGTGCATTCTTTGTGCCCTCTACTAAGAACCTACTATGTATTTTTGATGAAATGGTCGCCGTCCAGATTCCGAAAAGCTTCCAGTAATTATATAAATGTCACGAACTACGAACATTCCCACACTAGGTTTATTCATGGTCTCATAGACTAACACAGGGCACGTTTCCGACAACACCGCACAATATTTTGGCGCCTCTAAAGGAGTTGCTGAGGAAGATATTAAATGAAAATTGGCTAGAAATGTGAGAAAGCTTACTAAAGGTAAAGGAAAAGCTCATTTTTATATAAAGCATTCTCACAGCAATCCGATTCTACCGATGCGTCAAACTAGGGTGTTGGTGGGATTACCTTTCATGCTTTTCTGTTGGTGCCAAAAGTCGTTGCTCATGTCTCCTGAGAAGAACGACGGCCACCTTAAAAGGGTTCTTTGGCCGTTATTTCAGTTGTCAAAAGTTGCATACATTCCCCTACGATTGGCACTTCGCGCTACTAATAGGTCATGAATCACCTTTCTCTTACATGATGCCTATAAATCAAACCAACAGGACTATTTTTCTCAATTTTACAGACTCCTTGGTAATCTGCCTGTAGTTAATTCGTGCTTAGTAGTCAATAATCAAATTGCCACTCCTTTAGCACTCAGGCGAGCTGCGTTACATTAGTTCCATAACAGTTATCCGAGTGCCACTCACATGTTGTCTACTACAAAAACATTGACAAACTATTCTAGAATGGACAAGTATATGGAAGCAGTTGCCCAATATGTTCTAATTGCCAACAAAATGCCAAGTTCCCCTCACACCAGGGGTCTA